ATCGCTACATAGGTTTTTAAAAAGGCGTAAATACGAATCACAATATCGGATTTTTAAATCTCGTAAATAAGAATCGCAACTTACAATATTCAAATCGCGTGAATAAGAATCGAGATAGTAGCAGATTCCAGGCTTGGGACCTCTAAAAGGCTTGTTAGAAGCAGCGTCGTTTGAACTACAAAAATCAGATCTATCTGGAGGGCGGGTAAAAAATTCGGAAAATCTTATCTGCTGCGAGTTAAAGGGGAGAAAATAGCTATAATAAGTAAAAATGAGAAAGGATTGGTAGCTATGTAGTTTGAATTTTCTGTTTCTTTTTGAAAATCGGTGAATTTTCAGAAAAAGCGGAATACTTATAAAAAAACTGAAATTTTTAGAAAAATCTGAATTTTGGATAAAAAAAGCTGAAATTCAAGAGATAAAAGTGAAAAAAAGCAGAAATCCGCTAAAAAGCGGAAAAATCTCATCCCTGTGAGTGTTTGGAAGATAAAATTCAGATTTATTCTTCGGAGGTATTTTTAAAAATAAAAAATAAACTAGAACAAAAAAATCCTTAAAATATTTGATAGCTCGGTTAAAGCGGAAACTCGGATAACTGGGGCTCGGATTATCGGGACTCTACTGTATAGATAAAAAATATCATTAGAAGGAAACAGCATTTTTATCATTTTAAAATTAATGTAAAATAGGGAATATTTTTTTATCATCTGCAGCAGAATAATTACACAAGTCTTGGCAACTTCCGGGTAGCGGTCCTTTGTTGCTTCTACGAATTCGTGTAAAACATTTTTAGAACTCACGTCATATTTTCTGTCAGTCACTATAAAATTATTCTTAGTGATTGCATGAAAACACAGAGAGGGACCAACTTGAAGGGTATAACTAGTAGCCACGGCGGGACAACCTCTTTATATTTCTTTAAAAAAAAGATTAGCAACATAGAGGACAAATAAAATCCCACATTTTTGACATGCACTTTTATATGTGAAATATTCTGTAATTTAGGCCACCCTAAACATTATTTGTACACTTTTTTTAATTTAAACTATTCACACTTTAATTTAAAAAATAATTTAAGACTTTTAAATTGCAAACTAATTTTTATTAAGTTCAAATATTACAATGTAACAGACGGGTCATCTTACAAATGTGACAAATAGTTTCAGGGAAATCTCATTATTGAAAGTGACTCTTTGATTGTTTAAAGTTGGAGTTGTTGAAATTAGCATTGCTGTAATATCTTACATCTGAACCTATGCTAGATCATTGTAGTAATATTAAAAGTTTTCAATCCACTAGACCCTGTTAGAAAAACAACCCACAAATTGTCTATTTCTTTCTCAATTTCAGTTATTTGGGCAATAAAGTTAACTACCCTATTTTTTCCTTGAACTTTCACACTTGCATAACTAAAAATTGCAACATCAACAGGGGAAGAACCTAGAATTTCTGTTGATTCATTCATAGTGATATCTTTGAAGTTAAATTTTCTTCCTTCTAGATACAGATTTATAATGAATTAAACAATTTCTTTGAACACTTACAAATGCATGTCATATATTTAGTATATCTTTTATACTTAACATTCTTCAAATGCAGAGCCTTCCTTTTCAATATCCTCTTTTGATAGATTACTTCCACCCCATTGCAAATGGATTTCGCACATTTAACAAATGATTTGACATCATTTTGTAAGCAAGTCTAATTTTTATGTTACTATTCCTTTGCATGCAACCATTTTTATGGTACCCCTTGCATCAACTGCATATGTTTCGTGACTTGTAGCAAAAAAACGCCAATTGTTCTCAATGGCAGAAAAAGTAATGCTGCACTTCTATTTGAATTGGGATTATGACCCATCACTAAAAATGTTCATTTAGTAGCCATTTCTTTTTTAAGTTTATCAAATAGGGTTTCATTGAAAGTATGGATTTTGCATATACTGTCACTGGCTATGACATAATTTACAATTACTTTTTCTTCCATACAGTCTATTTAAAGTCAAGCAACAGTAGTATATAAAGAGCACTGCCCATGAGTCCAATCATAGCCACCGGTGGCTATGGTCCAATGGGCTGACTGCACTTCATTTTGAGTAAGGAAGGTAAAATTTTCACTAAAGTCTACTTGTAAAACACACTTAGTGGGATTCCGCCTAAGCTGCTGAAAATACTTGGATTATGTTTATTTTTCTAATTCGCCCTCAAGCTCATCAATTACATCAGACAGTGTGCCTTCGTTCAAAAATCGAACACATTTTGTCATACTATAATTTCTGATCCACTAATACCACTTATTTTGTTCCACTGAATTGATAGGACATTTAGTTTTTTCTCACTGCTACATCCCCTTTGTTATAAGAGAAACTTTAAAATGTTTACATTCTTTTTAAAAAATACAAACATTTCTTTGTATTTTTCCTGATTATTTTTTCAGAAAAATATATTCTTTTTTATTTCAGGGAAACCTAGAAGAAGTTATGCTCATTTGCCAGAATATTATAAGTTTGTGAAATGCTCTCGAGGTGGTAAATTCAAACAACAAAACAAAAATACAAGACTCAGGAATAATTTATATTGCACAATACGAAATTATCCCCATATTTATTAATGATATTTTTTTTAAATGGTGCTTTTTAGCTATTTGACCAAATTACCATTCCTTACATCCCGAATGGCCTCTATCATAAATTTTACTATAATAATGCATAACTTCTAAAAATAACTTCTGGATCATTCATTACTACAAATTGCCTTTAAAATTATACCAAATATAGGGATACTACTTAAGCTTCAAAAAACTGAATACAAGTTGACATGAAATTCAATTACATAATATTACTTGAAATTCCAAATAAAAATAAAAATTCATCATTTAAAAATCATACAGTATTAATAATCACAGTATTACTGCAAATAATATATACAATTTTCAAATTATTATTATCATAAATTTTACAGAAAACTTAAGAGTATACGTTTTTAGCCTAAGTTACATTTGTAACGTTTTATCGAAAATATTAAAAATTATATATATTACCTCATAATGGAAAACTTTAAAGCAAGCTTCAGAGATAAGCTTCATTCAAAAATCAAAAGTGTTAAAAAATAATAATTGATAAATAATGATAAATACCAATACAAACAACTTAAATGCTTGACTTTTAAAGTTAGTTAATTCAAACTTAAAATCTGGTCGCGGGAATATCAAAGTACAACGTATAGCGATATAACGATTATCGATTAAAAAAGAAAAACTTAAGGGCCATTCTTCTTTAATGCGGTTTACGCATCTTCGATCACCATTACGGGAATGCGTGAATTTTGAAAGATAAAATATGATTGGTCAATTTTCCGCGAAACTGATTAGAAGTGTAAAGTGAGAATGCTCCTTGATTTATCATAAAGTTTCAAAGATGACAAGTAAGCTACAAGTCTGGCAGATTAAGAAAAACATATCTGTTTTTGCAATCTCATCACAAAACAATTGCAAAACAGAATACAAAACTAAACTGGGAGTGTTCAAAATAATTTTAATTAAGATTATTTAATTAACGTCTGTTAAAAACATTAAATGATGGCCACTCAAGCTTCCTCTGTGCTCATCAAATTAATGTCTGCCTCTGTTACAGTTGCTAATCAAGCAGGAAAAATAATTCGTGAAATAATGAAGAAAGGAAACTTAGGAATTGTAGATAAGGTCGAATATTGTGTATTATTTTTAAAATGAAATCATTTTTCAATTAAAAACTAATGAAATGTTATAGTTGAATCACAAATTAAATTATATGATTGAGGAATATTAAATAAATTTATTATATTTTACTGATTTATTATCAGGGATCTGTCCAAGCCAAATTTACTACAGTTTAGCGATACCATCACAAATTCAACTTTAGGAAAAACGGTAGTTTCACAAAATACTTTTTCTTAAAACTTTATTTTTGTGCCTCGTAAGAAACGATAAATCCATATTGTGTTAATTTTTTAATATGATTTTTAATTTTCACAAAATAAGTACCTCTCAGAAAAACCGAGACAGACCCCTGATTATATAAGCCAATGTATTTATTTTATAAATATGTAATCATCTATGATTTTATTTTACTTGATAATCGACGTTTATGAACCTTGGTGTAAAATATGTTACCATATGCTTCAAAATTTCATAAATGTTAACAATTGTTTTATTTTGATTATTTTTTGAAAATATTTGTCATACCATTTTATTTAATTGATTTCTTCTTTGCTTGCTTTTAATTGTGAATTATAATTTCACTTAGCAAGGATGGCAAAGAGGCCTGCACCAAAAAGTCATCAAATTTCGGAGACAACATGACATTGATTTTTACGAGAAACCTAAACATCGTTTTATTAAGATTTTATTTTTGGGGATTCATTTTTACAAAAAATAGAAATAACTTTTGTAAAGATTTCATAATTAATGAAAAGCTAATAATTTGGCTGCTAAAAATTCTATTAATTTTATAAAATTATTAAAAAAGTCTTTTTTTTAAGTATTTTCTATAATGCCTTATTAAAAAAATTAAATTTTATTCCTTGTGAGATCATATTGTCAAACTAATATTTAGAGATAAATAGTTGTCTACAGTATTACATATATGTTCAGTTCCCCCCCCATTCACTTTAGATCTAATAATCAGATTTTCACATTTTAGGATTCAATCTTAATGGTTCGAGAGGATGATCTCAAATATGCTAATTAATAATTGCACGCCAGTTACGCCATCAGACGCAAGAACATACTTTGTCTGAATAAACATAGTGTGTTTTAAACGAATTCGGATTTTTGACTCCCAAAATATAGGGGGTAGCCGTAATTTGCGGAATATGGTCTCCATACTTTGGTCAGGAGAGCTGTCTAAAGCTTGGATCCTTTAATGTTAATTTTTCGTTTTGTGTATTTCACCATATCTCGAGAACTTTTTAAGCTAATTAAAAAAATCTATGCATGATTGTAAAATTCATTTATCCAAAAATAATTCCACCCTAAAAATAATTTTTAGTAAATATTTATTATTTCATTTAAGAATGATTGAAAAAATTTTAAATTGTAAGGTATACAATTTTTTACATCATTTTAAAAAATTTAATTTTATCTAGCAAAATATAAAGAGCAAAAGCAGTCTAATAGTTCATTACAAATCGAATTACAAAAAATCAAATACTTAAAATTGGATACTGATTTTCCCCAAATTTTGTATTTTGCTATGTAAGATTACATTCTTTAAAATAATGTAAAAAATTTTATACCTTACAATAAAAAAAAATTCGAACATTCTTAAATAAAATTATAAAAAGTAATAAATATTTACTAAAAATTATTATTTGTTTGGAATTATCTTAGGATAAACGAATTTTATAATTTGTGTGTAAAAAATTTTCAATTTGCTTAAAAAGTTCTCAAGATACGCAAAGAGTAAAATTAATATTAAGGAGTTCAAACTTTGGAGCGCTCTTCTGACCAAACTATTGGTACCATATTTTCCAGATTGCAGCTTCTCGTTGTATTTTAGGGGTTAAATAGTTATGATTATAGAGAGAAAGTACTTTTTATATCTGCCTTCGTAACTTAAAATGTCGTTTGCACTTATTTTTTGTCATATTCGAGAGCATCCCCTCGAACCATTAAGAATGAATCCTAGAACGTGAAAATTCGATCAAAAGTTATTCAGGGTTGTCCTTCTTTTATTTGATGCACTATACATGAAAAAAAAAAAATCAAAATTAACTGAGCACTAAAGAAAAAAGTGAACACTGTCCGACTTCGCATTTGTACTTAATTTTACTTTATTAAGCTTTTCCTTGATGAATCACAATCAAAAACAAGCATTTACATGTTGAGAAGTACACCTGAATTTCATTATGAACTCATGTTATTAACTGAGTTTCAGTATTAAATGTCTACAATTACAATTATTTGAGAGATAGAAGACTAATTTTTAAATTTGTCTCAATACATGTCATGCCATTTTATTTTTAAATCATGCTAATTTGAATGAAATTTGAAAAGATAATGGTTTGAATTTTTTTTTTCTTCCTTGAAGCATCAGATGTCACTGTTACAAACTTCTCAGATATTGATAAGAAGTTACCACAGCCATAAACAACTGGCAGAACTTTTTGTGCTGATGCAACTATGTCATTTAATATCAATTTTGATAGATATAAATTTTACTTAATCATAATATATATATTACTTACTTTTCCATTTTGCTTATTTTATGCCATGCAAATTACTTTCTTATTGTTCCAATGTTTGGTAAATAAAAGAAGTTGATTCTCATTTTTTCATAGAATTTGATTTATAGTGGCACATTTAAAATCTTCAATGGCCCATTCTACCCTATGATTGTGGTTTAATTAGCCAAATTGCTATTTATCGTTTTACTATTATCATTCGTTATAAGTATTTTTGTAATCCAATTTCTAATACTTTTTCATGTAACAAAATAAGTAAAGTAAACATAATAAAATTTTGAAATAAACCTATTAGAAAAAAAAAAGTCCTTTCCATTTTTTACATACAAAATAGAGTTTAATACAATTTCTAAAAAAATGGGCAATAAAGCAATTTTTCCTAATCAAAAGATTAAATAGCGCTGTGGCTGCGGGGAGTGGAATATTTGGAATTATGATTTAAATATATATACTACAAATACAACTTGCAGCAGTATAAATTAAGAATATTTAGTCCTTGATCCAAAGAAAGAATAGCTAAAAGATTTCACTTTTCCGTAAAAGAATTCACCTGTCCATTTTCATTTGTCCATTCACATGTCCCTTATAGAGTCCTTTAAGTATTTTTTTTTTTAAAAATACTTACAAATTTAAGAAACAAAACAAATTTAACAAATACAATCTTAAAAATTTTTTAAATTAGCTTTATACAAATCAACATTTTCTCACTATGCTTTGATTGATGTTTAATGTTACACATTTATTATAAGTAGAGCATTATATTGAATATATAAAATAAGTGATAAAGTTAATTTTCTTAATTTGAATGATAAAATTAATTTTGATATAAAAAGTTTGATTCAATACATAATATCCTAAACTATGGTGACAAAACAATAATTTCATAAAAGCTTGTGCTTGCTTTTTTTTTTTTTTTTTTTTTTTTTTTTTTTTTATTTTCTTTTATTGATAAATATTTACAATTTAAGGGAATAAATGACATACAAACTGAAGCTGATAGATCTGCCCAAAGATGTATTGTGAATTCTCTGTCAAAGCATTTCCCTAAAGTAACAATCATTGGAGAAGAAGTAAGGCTATTTCATTTTTATGTCTATTTTTTTCTTCTTTTGCTCTTATGGTATGAGGGTTATGGTTATTCTTCTAACTTAGCTTTCTGCCTCATAAGCATGAGCGTAGCATGACGAAAAATTTTAAGGGACACAAGAATTTATTTTTAAAGTATTCTTTTTTTTAAAAGAAAAGCTGACATTAATAGGTCGCCTCTTGATTTTCATGGCATTTTTATTTAAAATGATAAATTTATAATAAAAAAAATTCAAAAACAAAATAAAGTTTGAAAATTTTCTTTTTTTTTATTGAAATTTTATTATGAATTAAATAATGAATCATGAAATATAATAATTAAGCAAATATTCCTCACATCCTAATTTTTTAGTGAAGGTTTTTTTAAATAACGGTAATTATATTATTACACTTATTATACTCACTCGAAATAAATAACAGCATTTCAAAAAATATTTATGAAATCAAATGAAAAAAAATTATGTAAATGTATATTTTTGAACTTTTAGAACAAAACTATTTCTTATTGTAAAGTTCATTAAAAAAAGGAAGAAAAGAAACTACTAAAAATGCCTTATAACTTAACTGAAAGTAACAACTGAAACTGTAGTCAAAATGTGAACACAATTGTTTACACTGAACATGAAATGTATAAAATTCCCAAGCATGTTAAAATGCGAACCATTTTAAAGTATGTAAAAAAGGAAATAAAGGGAGTTATTTCAGTTCATATTCGAAGAAAAGTGTGAAACTTTTTAAAGTAATTATAAAGCCAATTTTGCTTATATTAAATGCTAATCATACATTTATAATACTCACTCAAAGGAAATGACAGCATTTTAAAACATATTTACAAAATCAAATAAAAAACATTTAATATAAATAAATACTTATTGAACTTTTAAAGCAAAACTATTTCTTACTGCAAAATTCATTAAAAAAGAGAAATTTCTAAAAATGTCTTATAACTTTGATGAAAGTAACAACTGAAACTGAAATGTATGAACAATATGTGAGCACAATTATTTTACACTGAAACCAAAACGCACAAAATTGTATTTACACATTTACTAAATTGTACACAGAATTTACCACCTCGACAGCATTTCACAAACTTTTAATATCCCAGCAAAAGTGCTTAACTTCTTCTAAGTTTCATTGAATTAGAAAAGAATATATTTTTCTGAAAAAATGAAATGAACCCTTTTTTAAGACTATTTCTGAAGTCATATTTTGTTGTAATAAAAATCGAAAGTAAGTTAAATAAAATATACTAGCAAAAAATAGATTTAAGAGCACAGTTGTTGCATATTATATGGAAATAATGGACTTTCATAGTTTCGAAAAGAAGAAAACTTTATTTTTGATATTTTATCATTTTTAAGGATAACAAAATACATAAAAACATATACTTTTCATGGACACTAGATAGTGAATGAACTAAAGAGATATTAAGTCATACAAAACTATAAAATATTCTAAATCAAGATGAAAGGCATTTTAAAACCAAAGTATTCATTTATAAATAAATATAAAAACAAGACAATTGTTTACTCATTTTTAAACAATTATGACAACTGATATTTCTGTGCGTAAAAATCAAGTTATTCAAAAAATTGTCAAATACTTTAACACAAGGGACTAAATGTGTGCATTTGAATTTTGTATCTATAAACTTCTTTTAAACAAAATTAAGCATTACTAGAGAAATTAAAAATTATAAAACTTAGTTTAATAAATTCTTATTTAGAAAATTAAATTCAATAATATTTAGGTCTTATAAAATATAATCGATTTTATTTTATTTCCTTTGGTGCGCCCTTGATTTGCAGCTTCCAAGGAGTTTTTCAAAATTTGAGCGGAGCTTAATCAGTATTTTACAATGTTGCTGAATATTTACTTGCTTGACCGGGTATATAAAACTGAAAAATGCTGTGCTTGTAACTGTATTTCCTAAACACAGTTTTAATTTTGCAGTTTCATATTTAAGATGTTCACTACATTAATAAATATAAACTTTAAAAGATAAAAAAATAAGCAACCTAAGGGGGAAAAATTTAATGAACAAAACCCTTATCACTAAAAAGAAAGAAGTTCAAATTGAAATTATGAGGAACACTAAGACATTTTTCACTCCATTCTTAATTTTAATTCAAACATTTAGCTAGATTAGTGACAGTTTAGATTGAATTATGAATATCCATATACCCTTTTATTTATCCCTTACATATCACTGATTATATGGTAATGATTTTCTCTCATAATAGCCTGAACTTTTAAAGAGTTAAATATAAATAATTCTTATGGCGATATTTATTATATTGAAAGGTAAGGATTTAATTTCTTCCCTAACATCTTCATGGTTCTTCTTTCTGCAATTATTATTATTATTCATGCTATGTTTTATTTTGATTCAGCTACTGAATTCAAAACATCTATTAACTAATGTTTAATCCAGATAAAATTAGTAAGTATACCAGTAAAAATGGCTAATTAGAAATAGTAACTATAAATTTGTAAAATATAATTATGTTTTATTACTAGAGATTAGTGAAGTTAATAAAATTTAAATAAATAAATTTTCTGTATTCTTAAAATAAAAATATTTTACTTACCTTAAGAGAAATGCATTTTTTTTAAAAATTGGAAAAGAGCAAATTTTTAATGGGACTTTTTTTTTCCCTTACGGCTGTTAGAATTCAAATTTTAAATTAAACAAACGATCTTGTTTTGAAAAACCAAACTCATGGACAAGTACATTGCAGAAAATGGGTGCATTGCCCTAGTCTTATTTAGTAACCTGCTTTTGCAAACAGCTGCTTTTACCAGCATCCTCAAGTTAGTACATGGAACAAAATACCCAAACAGCTTCTTGAAGCATACGATTATTAAGTCAATAATTGAAAGATGTGAATAGAAAAAATGGGATAGTTGGTGCAATAATTTGAATTTTTTCCAGTTATTAAAGAAAAAAAAAGTTTTTTTTTATTATGCAATCAAATCAGGAAAAATTTGCATTTTGACAAAATGTCATAGGGGTATATGCCCCCTTCCTTATGCTACACCTATGCTCATAAGAGCAGCTAGAAAATTGTATCAAAGAATGAAACATTACCGTGACAATTTGGAAAGTTAATTGCTATTTTCATGTATATAAGTAACAATCATGTATAAAAGTAACAATAAATCAACTAGTAATTTACCTTTATATTTATTAATAACATAAGTGCTGATTAATTATAATTAATCAGCACAGTTATCAATAAATGGGGTAATTAAACAGCTTTAAACCAGTGTTCTTTCCTTAATCATATAGTTCTAGATTGGTGCAACTTGCCGCCCTTTCATGAAGACAAATGCTGTTTAATAAAAATTACTTTTCACTAGTTCAAAATAATGCATTTTTAAATACAATTGTATTTTAGTTTTATTTTAAGTTAATATAATAAAAGCTCAAAAATCTGACCTTCTGAAATCTAGACATTTCTTTCAGCTCAATCCAATTTAAAATTCAAGGTAAAATTTTGAAATTCTTGTATTGTAAGTTCATATTAAAAAAATTAAATTAAAAAAATATGTAGAAATTCATAGTAATAACTTCCATAGAAGTAATAAAAAAATAATTAAGTGTATTTACAATGAAATCAAAATGAATCAAGCCTATTAAAAAATGTTAACTCAAATGTGTGTGTCATAATACTATTGTATTAGGTATTAAAAACATTGGAATTTAAAAAAATCAGTTGATCTTTTGAAATGATGCGCAATAATATTTCATGAATTTATTTCTTGAAATTAATTTTTAGTCAAACTAATAATTATTAAAAATTTAGAAACAATTATAGTAGTTGTTATTAAATTAGATAAAAATTAATAAACAGTGCCATTCTAATCTTTTTTTTTTCTGAGGAACAGTAATACTTATTATTAAAAATACAACATAAAATTGAGAAAAAATTTAGTATAGTTCTTAAACTCTGGAAGTATATAATTTTAGTCTTTTATATGCAATTACATTTCAAAGATGTAGTATTATAATTTTTTTTTTTTTACTTACACTATTTATTTATTATCTTATTGAGTAATCTATTAAAAAATTTGTTTTGTTCTATTGTTTCACAATGTTGATAACAAAAACAAAGATTGTAAACAGCAGACCCCATACATTTATATTTGCTAAATGATTTTAAAACCACATATTAATTTATTTTAGACACTTGAAAAGATAGAAAATGAAGATGGTTTGCTTATTAACTTAAATAACTGTGAGTCAATTGCTGCTTCATGTCCTGACGATTTGCAGTCTGTAAAAGAAGAAGATGTAAGATTTATATTTTGTCCTGATTTTCTTGTAATATTTATTGATTTGAAAGTTTATTTCTGTACACATTAAACCTATACATTGATTCTATATATATATACTATATATATATTTATATATATATNGGGAACTCTTAGTAGTTGCTATTGGTTTATGAAATAGATCGAACGTTTCCCACGCAAGAGCAAAGGGAAAAATGTCCTGCTCTTAAATGCATACTTGAGCCAAAAATAGATTTAAGAACAGGATGTGGCTTTTAAAAGTGTGAGAAAGTATTTCGTTTAGAATAATAATTAGGATGAAGTTTTATAAAAGAAACTAACATAAAAAGATTAATTGAAGCTTTTTATGTTAAATCCCCCCTCGCCAAAAATGTTTAGTTACAATCCAAAAATTTTAAAAATTATCCATTTGCAAAATCTTCCCTTTGGTTGAAGCACAATTAAAATAATCAAATTTGTAATGTTGACAATATATAAAAGTAATATAAATTATAAAACATTTACATATGTTCTCATTGTAAAAATTTTAACACAATTAAAAACCTGTAGTAGCTTTTTCAGCTAATTTAAAATTTTCATTTTCAACAGTTTTTTTTTTTTTTTTACTTAACAGTTTTTTCAGTTTCAAAAGTCTTTTGTTTAAAAATCACAACACAGCTTTTTCACTATAAGAAGTATTCTTCATAAAAACACTATTTACGTTAACTCTTCAATCATGATAAAAAAATTTATAAACATTTTAAAAAATGCGCAAGTTAAAATGTAAAACACAAAATGCAAAAAACAGTTTTACAGGAAAGATTTCAATCTGGAATTAGACTTGAGTATTGTTTACCTTGTTTGAAAACAAAATAAAAAAATGACACAGTGTTTGTTATTGTCAAGTCCAAGATTTCAGTATTGTCTTTATTTCACTTTATTTATTATTTACCTTACATATTTATCACTAGCAAAATATCCGGAATTTTTTTTTTTCTCTATGTCCAAAATTTGCCTTCTATAACATTTTTTCTTTTCTTTTTCTCTCTTATTTTTCTTTCGACCTTCTTTTATTTTTCTTTCTACTTTCTTTATATTTATTTATTTGTACTTTTATTTTCTTTCTTGGTATTTTTATTGCAATTATTAACCCGGATTTCAGGAAATGTGTAAAGACAAATGCTTTTATAATCAGAAAAGATGATCAGTCTTCTCAGATTTTACATTACAACCCGTTTAACACAATTTATCGCTAATTGAAATCCAAAACAAAGCTTTCAAATTTAATATGGTATTAAGGTAAATCAGTTTTTAATTTTTGACTGATCTAGCTATTTTCCTTATTTTTAATCTGATCTGCAAGTTTGGTTAATTTGCAAATTACCTTTTTTTTTTCATTTATATCTTTCATTCTTTCCTTTTGGACATAATTTTTTTTTTCTTTCAAAAATTCTAGTGCGGATATTTTTTAAAGTAATTTTTGTGCAGAGATCTTAATTGATAATTTAATTTGTCACAATTGCTAGGGAATTCAAATATTTTCATTTCTTTTTTAAACGTGTTTTTGAAGTGAATTTGGTTACTAATACTTTTCAATTTTTGTTTGATCATTTTCCTATCTTTATGTTGTTTGTCTATGTCTGAGCTGGAACTGAGCTATGAACTAATTACCAACATTGGACTTACGCATTAATGTCTGGTCGTACTTCAATTTAAATTCTAGCAACAAGTATTTTATTCATTTTTCCAAACTATTTGTATTAGTTTTAACATTTCTTGATTTAATTTTTGCCACACCGTAATTGCATTCATATATTAAAATTAAATTTCAATAATTATTGCAGTTGCATTACGAAGAGAAAAAAATTTAAATGGCATTTTCATTTAAACCCTAATCACTGCAAAACAAAAATATAATTTCTACTATTCAAAAAAAATCATAGAAGCTGTAACACATAAAACAATATGAAAATAATTTCTTGAAACACTTTTCAATCAAATAAATCAATTAACTGAAAATAAAAATTTAAAGAAATAAAAATTTCAGTAAATACTATCAATATATAAAAAGTAGTTTCACTTTGAAACATCAAACATGGGAAAAATTAAAATCATACTCATTTAAGAGATTGTTTTATGAGAAATGTAAAAAAAAAATAAGCACAAAAGGATACATGAAAAAGTTCGAATTAGTCCAAGATATTTTGAAAATCACAACATTAGCGATGAAAGTGCGTTGAAATTCCGTGAACTCAATTCCAAAACCAAAGACGTGAGCTGCTAGGGAAAAAATTTGTTTCTTCGTTAAGATGAATCGTAAATTAACACCAATAGTGACGGAGAAATTGAAGCTTATTTTTCTTTTGAATGTCGAATATTTAAGTAGACCATCGTGGGTGTGAGAACAATTATTCATCGACGATAAGATCCAGCTCAGCACTTAAGAGTGGCAAAATCAACGCTTTCTCAAAGGGATAGTTTCAATAAAACATTTTAATTAACAGGAATTCGATGCAGTTTTTCTTTTTAGTCCAAGGAAGGAATTGAAGCTCAGCTTTCTAGTATTCTCAGGAACGTAGACAAAATATGCAGCATAGACATGGAAAACGGATGATCGTTTAGTTCCACTGTGCGTAGGTATAATTTATAATAAACTAAACGTTTGATGATTGAAGAGATTATTTTTTTTTTGATGAAGATACAGGATGAATTAATTATTGCCATAAGTTGAAGAAGAATTTGACTGCTTATTTACCAA